GAGACCAATAGGGCTCCCCTGGGCAGCTGCTAGGCTGGCTTCTGCAGGGCTTCCTGGGCTGTAGCCTGGATGCACACCCAGGGGGACTTTGTGGCTTTTCTCAGCCAGGTCCCAGGAGAGGATGAATGATCTCCTCACCTGGGCACTTAGGATGGTACTAGGTGAGGTGAGAAAACAGACAGCCATGACTTCCTGTGTTCTGCGGGCCCCTGAGGAACCCCAGTTGAGAAACGCTGGAACCTGGCAGACCCAGAAGCTCCGCCACCTCACCCTCATCCCAGGTTTGGGCACACAGAGTACGAAAGGCCCAAGAGAGGCAGGCTCTGGTTCAAGGTTGCTCAGGATCTCAAAATAGGTCCCTGCATGCCAGGTCAGGACTGTGTCATGGGTGACATGACCGTCTGGTTCCTTCTGCATTTTGGAAACAGAGCAGTTCGAGGCTGCTGGTTTCCAGGTCTCTGGCCGTGCAAGCCCATCTGTGGAGCTGTTTCCCAGCCCTCCATGTGCAGGAGCGGGGGCGGGGGGGGGTCTGGGAGGCCGAGCATCTCCCTCCTCTGAGAGCTGAGGTCGCGGCTCTGGCTGGCTCTGGGCTCTGGTAAGTGCATTGCAGCCCTGGCATGGCTGGAGGAGGGGCAGCGGCTAAGTGGTTTCTGAAAAAGGGCAAAAATGATGGGAAAAGCTTTGGGATCCTCTGGGAATCGGAGCGGCCGCCGCAGCTGCTGCTGCCATTGCTGGAAACAGTTTCCCTGCGTGCCAGACTGCGCCCGCAGCCCACGCCCGCCGGCCTGGGGCGGAGCTGAGGACCCTCGCCCCCTCCCGGAGGCTGGGAGGCCACTCTTCTCCGCCCCGGCCCCACGCTCCCTGCAAGCTCACACCGGCACCCACCGGGTCTGGGCTGTGCCCGCGTCTAGCTGGTGAGTCCCTTTGGTTGTTTGATGGCCAACGCAGATGTCAGCTTTCAGGATGGCGTCGTGAGCGGTCAAAAGCTGGGCCCTGCCACTTTCCAGCCGTGTGACTGTGAGTTGAACCAGCCTCTCTGCGCCTCAGTTACCCCATCTGAAAACTGAGGACGAAGGCAGTGGCTGCCGCAAAGGTCGTTGCGAGGCTGCAGTTGTAGCGCACTTAGCCGGGCTGGTGGTAAGGGACGGCGTGGTAAGGGCTGGCGTTATTGACGCTTGTTGCATTTGCTCCTGCACCCGGGGAGTCCCGGGGTGGAGAGGCTGCTGAGGCTGGTGGTTTGTGGCTGGAGGCTTCCATCGCGTTGCCCCCTCTGTGGAGTGGAGGAGCGTAGGGTGGGGGGCAGGAGCTCTGGGCTCTACTCTCTCTTTGTTCTTCACCTGGGAAGCCCCCAGACCACTGTAGGAGATGCTCGGGCAGGACAAGGGGATGACATTGATCTGGGCTGGGTCCTGGGCCAGTGTTCTCTCAGCGTAAAGTCACAGGCAGGTGCTCCCAGGAGCCCACCTGGACGGATGCTTTGGGCAGAGAAGGGTGTGGGACAGCCACACCCCGGGGTGTCTCACCTGGATTGAGGAGAGAAGAGAGTCTTCTCCCAGGTGGTGGGCAGTGTCCTTTCTGGATCTGGAGTTGAGAAAGACCCAGAGGTCGAACCTGATCTCTGTGGGCAGGGTCGTTTTTTTTCAGGACCATTCTTTAGTCCAGATCAATGAGTTTGTGAATCTTGTATAAATCAGAACCACCATCTCCATCAAACAACCAAATACTCATCTGCCTAGATCACGGTAGGAAATTCTCCGATCACTGTGAAACGTTCTGTGGTGACAGGTGCATCACCATGGCCTCAGGTGCATGGCACACCCCAGACATGGCAGTGACAGACTATCCTGTCCCTGTTACCCATCCCAGCCAAGGACAAAGACCTCTCACTCCTTGTCCCACCTTGTGCCCTGGGAGAAGCTTGGTTTCTAGTAGAGAATCGGGCGCAGGGTGTGCAGTGTAGATTCAGGGTTTGTTGACAGACTAAACGACAGTACCATGTGGGCTGCTTCCTGTTTACTGGCTTTGGTAAGATTGGGACTGGTGCGAGGAAGAGGCAAAGCTGCTAACAAAGAACATTGCTGACAGGTTCCTGGAGCCTCCTGCTGATAGATGCACTCTTGTTGGGCCGTTAAGAACTGCTGGTCACGGATTAGTTTGTTCTTAGTTTTGTAGCCAGCCTCATCCAAAGGGAGACCACAGACATTCCTGGTAGAGCCAGGCGTGGGATATGGCCTGGGTCTTAACCCGTGTTTCATTTTGGAGGTTTGGGCTTCCTGGGATGCTTGTTTGGGCAGGAGGGTGCTTCGGGTTGAGCCTGTTCCCAGGGGTGGAAGTGCCTAGTCTGATTGGCTCCCAGGCCCTTGTCTGGGGTCTGGGCCTGAGTTTCACAGCTGAGAAAGAGCTGCAGACCCCCAGGACAAGGGTGGAGTATTGGAGATGTCCTGGAGCCAGGCCGCCTGGGATCCAATCCAGATTCCACCTCTTATTGGGTGACCTTGGACAAGTGACATAACTATGTGCCTCAGTTTCCTCACCTGTGAAATATTTACTCCTTGGGGATATTGTGAGAATTAAGCAAGTGAATGTACATAAAGTGCTTAGCATAGCGTCTGCTTTGTGCATGGAACTTGCTCAAACATGTCAATTATGTTTATTCTCATTAGCTTCTGGTGCCTTTTATTTTTAGTTTTTAATTTAATTTTATTTTTTGAGACAGAGTCTCGCTCTGTCGCCCTGGCTAGAGTGCAGTGGCGTCCTCATAGCTCACTGCAACCTCAAACTCCTGGGCTCCAATAATTCTCCAGCCTCCTGAGTAGCTGAGACTACGGGCGTGCACCACTGTCCTGGCTAATTTTTCTATTTTTAGTAGAGACGGGGGGTCTCACTCTTGCTGGTCTCGAACTCCTGAGCTCGAGCGATCCTCCCGCTTCTGCCTCCCAGAGTGTTAGGATTACAGCCATGAGCCACCGTGCCTGGCCATGCGGTGCCTTTTAAATGCTAAAAGGTTCCCCAAACCATGAACAGTCCTTGACAGGGACTGTCACACCCCGTCCCCGTACTTCTGAAGCAACTCTCAGGAAGCCCTGCCGTCCACATAATAATGTCCAGTTTCTGTTCCTGGGAATTCAAGGCCGACAGCTGTCTGGCTCTGACCCTGCGGCCTGTTCTCCAGACCTATCGACTTCCTATTATCAGCTGCTCGGGGGATCCCTGGCCTCACCCCCAGCCCCAGCCTGGCTCCGTCCCCTTCCAGATCTGGCTCATCTGTCACCTCCCCCATGAAGCCTTCTTCAGTCCCTCTGCCCAGGCCAGCACCTGGTTTCTGTCTCAGATGGGGTTCGACCCTCTCCATGTCCCCAGCACAGGGATGGAAGACTCAGTAGACTCAGGGTGTTGAGTGAGGGGTCGAGTGCATGGGTTGGTGGCTGGAAGCAGGGGTCTCTGTGGTTGGGAACACCTCCTGCTGCAGGGTGTCCCCCTGCCGGGTGAATCAGAGACAGACCCAGGCCCTACTGAGAGCAGATCGACAGGCGGGAAGGGGCATGGGGCTGCAGTCAGCTGTCTGTCCTGTTGGCAGGATATGGGGTGATGAGGCCACCTCATTTTTTTTCTCATGGATCTGGCGTCAGACTGTAGCTGATTTACTGCCTCGGCCTGGCCATGTGCGCTGGGTTTTCACGGCCTGAATTTTCACTCACAAACGCAGGACTTGAGAAGCCTCCCACTCCTTCAGTGGCTGTTTTCCGGAAACCAGCCACTGCTGGAACATTCATCTCCCTAATTTCCCATGGAAACGGGACTTAGAAGGGTCCGTATCTGGTCACGTCCCCATGGTGCCCAGCGCGGCTTTTTCATGGAGAGATGGCTCTGTCTGGGAGGAGGTCCCAGGGCGTGGGGAAGACACAGCAGTGACTGATAGTGATTGCTAGAGCACAGGTGGACCACCAAGAGGTCCACAAGGGGTGGATGGTCAGTGAGCCAGGCCACTCTGGAGGGGGAAGGGAGATTGACAAGTGCAGGGATTAGGGGCTTCATGGAGGAGGCGGTGTCACTGCTGGATCCCGAGGCAGCAGCATCTCAGAGGTGGATTTGGGCAAGGGCAGAAGCAGAAAAAAGCACCCCAGGTAGAGGCATCGTGGGACAAAGGCCACGAGATGGAATGGGTGGGATAGCCCTGGGCTCCAGGGACGGGGTGCACCCAGCCAGGTGGAGGGGACATAGGAAATACGGCTCGGAAGGGAGCAGAAAACAGTTCTAGCGCTTGTGTACGGCGACACGTGCTGCTCCAGCCGCCAGCCCGCCTCTAGGGGTTCAGGCTTAGAAGGCCCAACAGCCCCAAATCACTTAAAGCCTAAAAGTTCAGGGCCAGGATGCTTGAAATACACTAATTTCACCAACGCGATAAAAAGTGCAAGAAGAAAAGCCCACAACCCTGTGCAAACTGAATGGCTGCCAGTCGCAGAGCGAAGGCACGTGGCTGATGGCAGGTGGACACATGGCAGAGGAGGGCCCTGCAGGGCAGAGTGTGGGTGTGTTGGACTCAGCTGGTCACTGTGTGCAGAGGACACAGACTGCTCGGCTGTTCGGGGCTGAGCCATCCTCATTATGAGTTACTTCCTGAATGCAGCCAGCGACGGCCACCCCCATTGTTCCCCTTGTTCTGATCTTGGGAGGGAGGCAGAGTAGTGGTTATCATCCTCACTCTGCAGATGAGGCAACTGAGGCCCAGAGAAGGGGAGGGATCACTTTAACCTGTGTCCCCCAGAGTGTGCTGATGTCTGTGATCACGGGAACAGTCTGAGTACCGCTAGGCCGGCCGGTCCTCTGGGCCTCTGGGTGGGAGGTGCAGTCCTGAAAGCTTTAGTTCTGGGGGGTGGGAACAGCAGCCAGTTGGCCCTTGGGGTGCCCTGCTTCACCTCGCTCTTAGCAAGGAGGGCAGGTGGGGGCCAAGGGTGTAGTCCGTAAGTTGGGAACAAACGTGACTCCGTGGCTGCCCGCAGGCTGCATACTGGGCCACAGAGGATCCTGCAAGGATGAAGAAATGGGGTAGCTCAGACCTGGGGGAGTCTGAGGACCCACCCCAACAAGACTGCTGCCCAGAACCCCTGGATGGAGACCCTGACTCCAAGCCACCTCCAGCCAAGCCCCACTTTTCCATGGCCAAGAGGCGCGCCCGGCTCTTTGGGAAGGGCGACTCGGAGGAGAAGTCCTCCATGGATGGCTCTTATGAGGAAGGTGAGCTGGCCTCGTGCCCGACCATCACAGTCAGCCCGGTTGTCATCATCCAGAGGCATGGGGACGGCCCCACCTGTGCCAGGTGAGTCTGCATCTGGAGCCCCCTCCCTGAAGAACATGCCACATGGTGGTTGGCTTCTGGGCTAAAGTCATAGAGCCAGGGAGCTGGGGGGCCTTCGAGGTGGTCTGGTCCAATGTCTGCACTCACACAACCTCACAGGTCACATGGTCACAGAGGCTGGTGTATACACTGACCCCAGATGCCAGCTGACCGCTCGGCGTCCAGGCCTGGAATGCTCACCAGCCCCAAACACTTGGACTTGAAGTGCAAAAGCTCAAGGCCGGGAGGCTTTTGGGCAGCGAGTATGAGACAGCGGGGCAGGGAGGGCCCACAGGCTGGCTGTCTTGGGGAGCCGAAGGACCCCTTTCCCTTAGCAGGGGCCAGTTCTTGCCTCCAGCCCCAGCCAGGGTATGGCCTCCTGAGCCCCAGCTCCCCGGCAGGCAGAGAAGCGAGGGCTCTGGGTGTAGGAGGTGTTGGTGGTGAAGACGTTCCAGATGGCATTTACAGACAGGGCACATAAGTGCCCCACGGTTCCCTGTTACATTGGCTTCCCGGAAAGTCACCTAGATTGAGGGGTGGCTTTTGTATCATGCTTTTCCCCCTTTTGGTCTGCCTTGGGGTTTAGCTGTGTTTCCCTGACAAGCTCTGAAGGCCGCAGGGCCGAGCCGAGACCAGGGCACGAGAGAAGGGTATTTTGTGGCCTGCAGGCAGCTGTCCCAGGACTCTGTCACTGCCGGTGCCGAGAAGACCCTCAAGCTCTATGACCGCAGGAAGATCTTTGAAGCTGTTGCTCAGAATAACTGCCAGGAGCTGGAGAGCCTGCTCCTCTTCCTGCAGAAGAGCAAGAAGCAGCTCACCGACAGCGAGTTCAAAGGTGTCCCTGGGAGCGCTGGGTTCCTGGGAGGGCCGCGGCCCCAGCCCTGCGCTGACCCTCCCTTTGTCGTTCAGACCCCGAGACAGGGAAGACGTGTCTGCTGAAAGCCATGCTCAACCTGCACGAGGGGCAGAACGACACCATCCCCCTGCTGCTGGAGGTCGCCCGGCAGACGGACAGCCTGAAGGAGTTTGTCAACGCCTGCTACACGGACAGCTACTACAAGGGTGGGAGGGCGGCAGGGGTCAGGGCCGGGTGTGGCTCAGCTGCCAGGAGGCAGGAGGGCATGGTCCTGCGAGGGACCTCCTTTCTGCTCTGAGTTCCCTCCTCCTTGTCCCTGTGTTGGTGGCTCCTGGTCCTGGGGGTCCCTGCCTCCCCCATCTGCTGGTTGGGTTTCTCCTGGTTCTGATGGTCCCTGCCTTCCTCATTTGCAGTCTCCTCCCTTGGCCTGTGAGGTCCCTGCGTCCCCCTATCAGCTTGGTGGTCCCTCCCCTGGAAGTCACGGCCTCTGGCCTCTCTGCTACTGTCCTTTGCAAAATTCCTGGGCTACTCTGACTCCTCTGCCTTCCAATCTGGTATCCTCTCTTCCTAGGGTCTCCATTCCTGCCTCAGGACCTCCCAGGGCCCCCCCTGGGGGATCCTGGCCTGGCCCCCTGCATGGGGGTCAGCCAGGTGCTTTCTGCCTAGTTCCTCCTGTCGCAGCTGCTGCCTCCCCAGGCCCTCCCCCAGCACCTGTCCAGGCAACCCCACAGGACTGTGACCACACAGCCAGCGCCGTGTGTCCTCTGTAGGCCAGACGGCGCTGCACATTGCCATCGAGAGGCGGAACATGGCGCTGGTGACCCTCCTGGTGGAGAATGGAGCAGACGTCCAGGCTGCGGCCAACGGAGATTTCTTTAAGAACACCAAAGGGCGGCCCGGCTTCTACTTCGGTAGGGAGACCATGCAGCAGACACTTGGCTTTTTGGCTTTTGCTAAAGGGGAGATTTGGGGCAGAGGCAGAGGGAGCTGGAGGCCTGGAGGTCCACTCCCGAGGCCCACCCTGAGCCCCGTGTTGGCTGCAGGTGAGCTGCCCCTCTCCCTGGCCGCGTGCACCAACCAGCTGGCCATCGTGAAGTTCCTGCTGCAGAACTCCTGGCAGCCAGCTGACATCAGCGCCCGGGACTCGGGGGGCAACACGGTGCTGCACGCCCTGGTGGAGGTGGCCGACAACACGGTCGACAACACCAAGTTTGTGACAACCATGTACAACGACATTCTGATCCTGGGGGCCAAACTCCACCCCACGCTGAAGCTGGAGGAGATCACCAACAAGAAGGGCATGACTCCGCTGGCCCTGGCCGCCGGCAGCGGGAAGATCGGGGTAGGAGGGGGCTTCGGCCCAGGCTGGGAGTGCCACTTGAGACGGTGTTTCGGGAGAGGGCCGCCCGCCTCACTATGGGTGCCTGGCATCGCTGCCACATGCATGCGGGACTCCAATTCTGTCACACCAGCTCAGAGGTCTGTTAGACTAAGTCAGAGGACAGGACTTCTGATTCCCAGCCCTGAGCACTGGCAGTTAGATACGGGGTGCGGGTGGGCTGCTGGGGCCTGGGGCGGCAGGGAGTGAGGCCTAGGGTGAAACAGAAAAAGAAGTTGCTGGTGTTTGTCCGTGGCAGGCAGGAATTTTGGGTGACAGGGAGGTCCTAAGGGGAGAGGGTGGGGTAGGGCAGGCCTAGGTGAAATCAGGCGCCACAGGAGGCTGATGTTGGGGTTGGGGCTGCTGGGAATTGGAGGGGAGGGGGCAACTCAGGCCCAGGGGGTTTGGAAGCCTGTCCCTGCTCAGATGAGCCCCTTAGGATGAGGAGCCTGGCTTTATGATGTCGGTTTCATGTCTCAGATTTTCTGTTTATGTCCTCCTGGCTTGAGGTTTTCTAGAACGGACACCACCGTCCATCGCTGTGAGATGGTAGAGCTAGGGGCCCTGGTGTGATGGGCTGCATGTGGCTGCAGGTGGAGTTGGAGGCAGCGGTGGGTTGATGCTGGTGGTGGGCAGGAGGGGGTAGGGGCTTACCTGGGGAGGGGCTGGGAAGCAGAGATTTGGCTGGGCCCCAGGCTGGCCTCTAGCAGGCTCCCGTTCCCCGGCGGCAGGTCTTGGCCTACATTCTCCAGAGGGAGATCCAGGAGCCCGAGTGCAGGCACCTGTCCAGGAAGTTCACCGAGTGGGCCTACGGGCCTGTGCACTCCTCCCTCTACGACCTGTCCTGCATCGACACCTGCGAGAAGAACTCGGTGCTGGAGGTGATCGCCTACAGCAGCAGTGAGACCCCCGTGAGTGGCAGGGCTGGGACACAGCCGGGGAGGAGTTCAGGGCCACCACACTCCAGCCCCAGCCCCTGGCCTGGCTCCCCCGTCTCCTCCCATCAGTGCAAACCTACTGCCCGGGCCAGGTCCTGCGGCGTCCTCTTCCCTTTCATCCCCACTGAATGGTTTCCCTAAGCAGACCGACAGCATGTGATTATGGCCCCACAAAGATGGAAACATCTCAGAGGTACATAGACAAAACGGACCCTCCTTACAATGGCATTTAAAAATGTGTAATTTCATTTTGTTTACAGAAGCGGGATCATGCTATACGTAATGTTGAACAACCTGGTTTGTCACTTAATGGCATGTCTTGTAGGAAGTTTTATATCAGTACAATAGGTCTGCCCCATCAAAAAGTTGCCACACAGGATTCCATAGTAGGGATGGGGAGTAAGTGTCACAGGTTGACATTTGGGTTATTTCCAGTTTTTTGCTACTACAATACTGCAGGCCACTCAGCATGGGTTTGGGAGTTTTTCAAGGAAGGCTACCTGGAATTGGAACAGCTAAATCAAAAAGTATGTTCACTTAATATTCAAATGCTACTGAATGGACGCACAGGCTACCCAGTGGGCACGACTTTGCCCATGGCCGTGCCAACCTGGATATTAGCAATCGTTTTGGAAAACTAGTTTAAATCAACAGAGCCAAAAATGCTATCTCATTCATGTCTTAATTCTCGTTTTCTTGATCGCTGTGAGGCTGAGCATTTATTCGTGTTTTTTGATCTTTTGTACTTCTTTGGTAGATTTCCTATTCGTTGTCCTGTGGGACTTCTCCTGGGACGGTTTGTCTCATGGTGTTTGGTTGTAGATGCTGTCATTACAGAGTGGATTTATCCTTCCTCAATGGCATATGTTGCAAATATTCTCTTTTCTCCCAGTCTGCCAGGCTCTTCCCTGCCTGCCCTCAGCCCCTCCCGCGTAGCCTCACGCCAGAGCCGGCTTCTTGGGCAGGAACAAGGAGGCAGGCTCTCAGAAGGGAGTTACTGGAGACAGTGGGCCTAGCGTGTGGGCCCTTCTGTGAGCACTTGGGGCTTGTCCAATTCCCCCCATTCACTGTGCCCAAAGGGACACTTAAGCCAAGAGGGTGGGTCGCTCAGCGATTCGCCGCAGAGCTGGCTCAGACCCCCTGCGTGGGCCGAGGCATGGGCAGGCAGGGACCATCCTGGTGACGAGGGTGTGGGCAGCGCCACGGGCTGGGGTGGGCGTGTAAGGTGGTTGCTGGCGGGGGGAGCGAGCCTCACTTCTCTTTGTTCCCTCTAGAATCGCCACGACATGCTCTTGGTGGAGCCGCTGAACCGGCTCCTGCAGGACAAGTGGGACAGATTTGTCAAGCGCATATTCTACTTCAACTTCTCCGCCTACTGCTTGTACATGATCATCTTCACCGTGGTCGCCTACCACAGGCCTGTGGACGGCTTGGTGCGGCCAGAGGCTCAGCCCTCGGTCAGGGGTTGAGGGGCGGGGGTGTGGAATTCCCATAAGCCCCACTGGATCCCAGGCCCAGGCCCTGCCCTGGACTTTTCCCCGGCTTGCTGGAGCTACACAAAGATCACCTGGACAGCCTGCTGTCCCTGTGCTCAGCGTCCCCCTCAGGCTGTCCTAGTGACGGCCCTCAGACCCTTTCCTTTAGCCTAGAGGTCTGGGGAGGCTGATGGCGTGGTCACGGAGGTCCCTGGTGGCAGAGGGGAGTACTTGGTTAGAAAGCATGCAGGAATTAGGCCACAGGAAGCAGCTGGCCCCTGGCCTGGGTGTCCGCAGGGACATGGGATGGTATAGGCCCCGAGCCTGCCACCATCTTGCTGGCCTGCCCTCTTTTATTCACTTGCTTGCTCATTACGCAGTCTATGGACCTATACTTCTGAGCACTCCTTCTGTGCCAGGTCCTGGGCCATCCGTAACATCAGCCTAAGACCAGAATTTTTCCTCTGCCAGGAGCCATGGACTCTGTGGAATTCCTGAATTGGGTCCTTCTCATTCCAGACCCTGGGCACTTAACTTGCTGCCTTTATTCACAGGGCATTGTGCTTGTAAATTTGGTTTAAAAAACTCCACTTCCTTAATGTCTTTCTATTTTAGTAGAGACAGGGTCTCACTCTTGCTCAGGCTGGTTTTGAACTCCTGACATTGAGTGATCCTCCCGCCTTGGCCTCCCAGAGTGCTAGGATTACAGAGAATGACTTCATTTTAACAGAAAAAAGAAATGTGCTAATAAGACAAGTCCGTGAACTAGTGCTTAGGAAACATTGATAGGAAGCTGAAAGGAAACCCACCTCAAAAATGGTGGCTGACACACAAGGACAATGCCTGCATGTGTGTGTGGGATCGTCTCTTCCTCCATTGTCCATTAGGGTCCCTGACACTCCTGGGGTAGCAGGTGCTCACGTGGGCTGTGGGGGCAGCAGGATGCCTATGGCAGTGGGACTGTGCCTCCACCTCCACCTTGTCCCAGCCTTGCTCCCACCCAAGGGGAGCTCTGGGCCTGCGGGGACATTGCCTGGGAGCAGCACCGTGTTGCAAGGACATTCGGCCTATCACCTGGAGGCTGCCACTTTGAGGAATGAGGCCCCAGAGAGGGGCCTCCTTGCAAGTGTCCCTATAATAATGCACAGTCTCTCTCCTGATGAAGGCCGTGCCTTCTGGGCAGGGGCTGGGTACCAGTCACAGGGCTTGGTACCTGGTAAATGTTTGTTGAATGAATGAATTAGTAAGCGAATGGCGTCACCCACTTCTCTGCATCTCACAGCCTCCGTTTAAGGTGAGAAACACCGTTGAAGACTACTTCCGAGTCACTGGAGAAATCCTGTCTGTGGCAGGGGGAGTCTACTTTTTTTTCCGAGGGGTAAGCACTCCTTCCCACTCTGTGAGTTTCCATTGCCACCGAAACAAAAAGCTAAGAGAAGCACTCATTGCTCACTCACTTTTTTATTCATCAGACACACAGAAATCATAGGTGAGGTAGTATAGGTATGGCTTTTGCAAGGAAGGTGACGTAAAATCCCAAACAGTGGCCCGCATTCAAAGACAAGACTGCGGCTACATTAGATCAATAGCCAAGGATTGTGCATGTATGACTTTTCAGTTAAAATAAGATGATTATTCATTTTATTTTAGGCATTCACAGCTGGTGTGTGTGTGTGTGGGGGGGTCTGCCCAGGGCATGACCACAGGCCCAGGGTAATCAAGCTTGCAAATAGGCAGGGCTCTTCCCAGTGAGCCTGCCATATATAATTGTAGAAGCAGAGTGGAAGCCTCTTAAGGGATCACCACTGGTAGTTGTTTCATTAATCAAAATAGTCTGGCCGGGTGCGGTGGCTCACGCCTGTAATCCTAGCACTCTGGGAGGCCGAGGTGGGCAGATTGCTCGAGGTCACGAGTTCAAAACCAGCCTGAGCAAGAGCGAGACCCCATCTCTATCTCTACTATAAATAGAAAGGAATTTATTGGCCAACTAAAAAATATATAGAAAAAAATTAGCAGGGCCTGGTGGCGCATGCCTGTAGTCCCAGCTACTCGGGAGGCTGAGGCAGGAGGATTGCTTGAGCCCAGGAGATTGAGGTTGCTGTGAGCTAGGCTGACTCCATGGCACTCACTCTAGCCTGGGCAACAAAGTGAGACTCTGTCTCAAAAATAAAAAAGTCTGTTAAAGCTCAGAACAATGAAGGAAATCTACATGTATACTGGAATCATTTTATTTCCACAGAAATCATTTTATTTTAATTGAAAACTCATACATGCATGATCCTTGGCCATTTTCTAATGTAGGAGCAGTCTTATCTTCGGGGGACCACTGTTTGGAATTTTACATCACCTCTCTTGCAAAAACCACACCCATGATATATCATCTATAATTTCTAGTTTCAGCTTCTTAAGGAGGAACTAGAACTTAGACGTGTACAAAGAGACCTGAATGCAGAATTTGAGATAATTGTGATTATTCAAACTCCCAATCTTTTGGGTTTAAGCTATGCCCATTTTTTTTTTTTTACTTACCTTTATGGAGTCTTTCCAAGTCACTGAACTTTGTCTTCACAGAAACAACTGTCTTTTTTTTTTTTTCCACACTTATAATTTATGTTATAATAAAGTACAATGCCATAAAAGCACTCCTGGCAGAGGCAGGACTGACCCGCGGGAGGGAGCAGAGGCCTGTGGGTGTCCTGGCTAGGACCTCACAACGGTTTGTCTTGTGAGTGAGTTCAGTGGAGGCTGGTTAAGAGAACTTTTACTCTAAATGCTTATTTAAAATTAAGAAGAAGAAAAAAGCACCTATTCAAAAGAAGAAAAAAATTGCCCAATCCCATCATTTATTCATAGCAATTAATAACATTTTGGTGATTTTCTTTCCTGACTTTATTTCTAGGTATAGTTGTAAATCCACTCTGTATTTTAAAAACATCTCTGCTGACTGCGTCACCTGACATCACCCCATTGGCCTGACCTGTTTCCCTCTTTTCGTAATCTCTGCTTCAGCGCACGCCGCTGCCCCATGGTGGCGCTGTTTAGAAGAAGCACGTCTGGGTGCTTACCATTTGGCTACAGCTAACAATTCCTGGGCTTTGACTCGGTCTGTTTACCTGCAGATTCAGTATTTCCTGCAGAGGCGGCCATCCATGAAGGCCTTGTTCGTGGACAGCTACAGCGAGATGCTTTTGTAAGTGACACTTTGATCCTTGTACCTCCTTTGGCCCGGTCCTGAGGAGAGGGCAATCAGTTCTTACTCATTCTCTCACTTGCGCCGGGCCCAGCACACAGTAGGCCCTCGGTGAACATGGTGAAGGAATGATGGAAGGCATTCGGTAAGCATTTGTTGGGTGAATGAGTACTGAGGGTCTACGCTGTGCCAGACACGTACCTGGTGCTGGGGATTGACAAATTGTGCCCTGGGCTCATGTGCCGTAGAGCCCGAGTTAGATCTGCCCTTGTTCACCTTTCCATCCGTTTGTCCATCCATCTGCCATTTACTGGTTGGCACTGGGGTACTGAGATGAAGTAGACATGGCCTCTGCCTTCAAGGAATTTCCAATCTTTACGGCAGGGTTCCTCAAGCTTGGTACTACTGACACTTTAGACTGGATAATTCTTAGTTGTGGTGGTGGAGGGGCTGCCCTGTGCATTGTAGAATATTTAGTGGCAACCCCGGCGTCTACTCCTCGATGCCTGTAGCTCTCCCCATCACTTAGTCTTGACAATCAAAAATGTCTCCAGGTATTGCCAAAGGCCCCCAGCCTGGGGAGGGGATGTCAAAATCACTCCTGATTGAGAACTACTGCTTCAGGAGGAAACAGATAAGCAAAAACAGTTATAAAACCATGTGGATGTTACGGGAACCCCCTTCCTTCAGAAAATGAGCTGGAATCTTATTATGTGGTTGTGGAATGATTTTTTGTTTTAATCAGTATTCAGTATTCACATTCTTATGCCTCTGTGAATATTTACAGTCGAGCTTCACAATATTCTATAATATTTCTTTTCTTTTTTTGTTTCTTCTGAAGTTAATAATTACCTTGTTTTTCACTTGTTTAGTTTTCTCTGTGGCCATTGCTAATTCTTCCCACACCTCCCCAAATCTCTCAGTGTAATTTCCCCCAAAATCAAAAACATAAATTACATTATCAGGTTTTCCCCCACCCCTTTTTTTTCTTGAGGGATTTCTTCCTCGAGCCCCATCTTCTCTTTCTAACTGGGCTAGTTGTTCTCCAGGTCTGCTGCTTAGCTGTCATACTGGGACTTCTCTTTGCTGCCAGCCTTGGAATTCTCATTGCTTTCCCCCCAGGTTAGAGTTCATATCTCTCTCTCGTATCTTCCTCTTTCTTGGTTTTCCCCCTTGTTTTATTTGAGCACATCCTTCAGTATTTTCATCTGGTGAAAAAAGAGGGTATAATGGTAGAGGGCAGGGTGATGACAGCTTTCAGTGTGCCTGAATCGTAAGTCACATTGCTCCAATGTGTACAGGCATCATTCCTTCACTAACGTCTCGGAGATCCCTTTCACTTTTCTCCTGAGTTGGATCTCTTATTTTCTGAACCCAATATTTTCCTCTTTCCTGGTTTACTTCTTTATTTTGGGGAGAACATCTTGAACCAAAGAGAGAAGACACATGGTGAAGAAGAGGGGAATAAAATTTTCTTTAAATCTTGTATATCTGAGAATCTCTCTGTTACAGCATCACATTCAGTTGATAGTTTGGTTGGGTATAAAATTCTTTAGACAACTGAAAGATATTTCTCCATTGTTTGTTGGCTTCCAATATTATAGATGAAACCACTCGGATTCTGGTTCCTCTTTTAAGATCTGTTTTGATTTTTTCTCTTTGTATCTTCTTTACGTCCCTAGTGTTCTGAAACTTAATGATGCATTTTTATATAGGTTTGTTTTTATCCAATCTTCAGAGCATTTAGTGGGCTCTTTCAACCTGAAAATTTATGTCCTTTATCTTGGGATATTTTCTTGAATTATTTCTTGATTATCTCTCCTAGAAATCCTATGATTTGTATATTGAACCTCCTGAACTAGCCCTGAACTAGTTTTCTTATATTTTCTCACTTGTGTTCTATCCCTTTATACTTATCTTTACGTTTGGGGAGGTTCAAATTAACTTTAATTTCTAACCTTTCCATTGAGTTTATCATTTTTAAGATCATGTTTTTTAAATTTCTAAATGCTTTAAAAAATTCTCTTCATTCCTTATTTATAGTACTCTATTTTTGTTTCATGGATACAATATCTTCTTTTGTCTCTCTGAGAATATTAAGACAGATTTTCAGAAGTTTTTCTTCTTTTCACATAGTTTTTCTGTTCTCCAAGTTGTTGTTTCCCATTTGTTTGTTTGTTTTTTCTCTTTTGTGTTAGAGCCCTCACCTCAGAATATCTGGGAATCCTTGGCATCTGCTTATGATTAGAGTGGAGGACTGAGAAGCTGGCTGGAAGATCCAAATGTGTGGATGGGGCTTATCAATTTTGGGCTTCACTATAGGCTGATCTAGATAAACCATTTATTGGATATTAATAATTCCTGAAGTCAGTCTATCAGGGTCTTTCTTCTTAGAGTTATCAGATTTCACAGAGAGCATTTTCTCAATCTTCTACTTGGAGAGGAGACATCTGGTTGCCAGCTTTCTGAGAGATGAGTTAGGAAAGAGGGTTTTCTGGAATCTGGATTGTATACAATCACACAATCTCCCTAGTTTTGGGCAAAATACCAATACTTTCAATGGTTCTGGATGAACCTACATCCAAAGATCCTCTGTTTTGTCTACTTCAGAGACAAGAGCTCTGTTTTTCCTTATTTCAGGCCCTTCATTGCATCCCCTCTGGGGGGTCCTTTTGAAGTTCCTTGATTCCAAGAATCGATTCTCAGCTTTCCTCCATGCTGGCTTCAGATTTGGCTTTCTTGGATCTACTAAGTCACTTTCCATTGTTCGCTGCTTTCCAACTCGCCAAATTTATATGGGGGGACCCCATTTGTTGCCAAAGACAATCTTTTACCAATTCAACTGATAGCAGTTCTCATTTTGGCCAGGGGTTCCACAAATGCTGAGCAATGCTTTTTCATTGCAGCAGAATTAGAAAACAGACTCTAATTGAGCCAGTTTATTTATTTATTTATTTTTTTTTGAGACAGAGTCTCGCTTTGTTGCCCAGGCTAGAGTGAGTGCCGTGGCGTCAGCCTAGCTCACAGCAACCTCAAACTCCTGGGCTCGAGTGATCCTTCTGCCTCAGCCTCCCGGGTAGCTGGGACTACAGGCATGTGCCACCATGCCCGGCTAATTTTTTATATATATATCAGTTGGCCAATTAATTTCTTTCTATTTGTAGTAGAGACGGGGTCTCGCTCTTGCTCAGGCTGGTTTTGAACTCCTGACCTTGAGCAATCCGCCCGCCTCGGCCTCCCAAGAGCTAGGATTACAGGCGTGAGCCACAGCGCCCGGCCTGAGCCAGTTTATTGACACCAGTTTTCAACAGACTCTCAGTAGCACAGTGTTGGCTCCTTGCTGGGTTCTGTCACACAAATGGGAGGCAAGGTGGTCAGTATGCTCTACCGTGTAAATGCAGCCAGGGGGGTTTTCTGGAGGAGGCCACAGTGGACAAGGGGCCATGGAGCACCCCCTGTCATAGGACCATCCAGCTGCCCTCTCCCCCTCCAGGGCTCCTACTTGGATACCCTCCATTGGACTAAGGGGCTGAGGGACATTTTCCCTCGTTCTGCTCTTTTTCAGGGCACGACCAGCAGACACCCCCTGTGGTTTTTCAGGAGAGCATGGGCTTCCCTCCTCACTGGCCTAGGGCTCCCAGGTTATCTGATGTCCAGTGAGGCTCTTATTCCTGGGGACTGGACAGGAAGGTTGTTGGGGCTAAAGCAGTGTTTCTCAGCCTTTTAAAATTATTGCCTTTTTAGACATGTTTTTCTAATCCCCCCTTGAAATTTTAATGCCATAAGTATACTATATTTCTTTTATATTTAAATCTGTGCTTTATGCATAAAAGGAATAAGATTGGGTACCTGTCCTGAGCCAATTTTTGCCCCCTGGGTGTGAGGTTGCTCCCCCAAGGAGCCTCTGCTACCTGGGCAAAAGGTGGCAGGACAGCCTGGTTCTAGCTACTACCATGGACTAAATGTGGGCCTCTGAGGAGATGCCCAAGCATCCTGGGGGGCACCAGGCCTCCCGGGTGCCCAGAGCCAGAGCTTCCTGTCCCTCCACCCTCAGCTTTGTACAGTCCGTGTTCATGCTGGCGACCGTGGTGCTGTACTTCAGCCACCGCAAGGAGTATGTGGCTTCCATGGTGTTCTCCCTGGCCTTGGGCTGGATCAACATGCTCTACTACACCCGCGGCTTCCAGCAGATGGGCATCTACGCCGTCATGATTGAGAAGGTGGGTGCCCTGTGCCCCAGTGGGGGCCCCTCAGAGCCCCGCTTGCCCTAGGGGTGTGTGAGATTGTCCCACAAGCTCTGTCCCCGCTCTCTGTATTGTCAGGGGAGGTTCTGGCTTAGCTCCCAGCCCATTCCCTAAGATCCAAGCAATCTAGTCTTGATCCAGATGTAGGGGGTTCCCCTGAGACTGATCCCTCTGCATACCAGCCCCGTCCCCACTCCTGCCCAGAACAAAGGCTGTGGGGGGAGGTGTGGATGACTCCCTCATGACACCTGAGCTGAAAACCACCAACCTAAACTCTCCTGCATGTTCCCCTGATCAACTCCAGGCTGATGCTGTCCTGGTCCTTCCCTCAGCTCCTCCCTGGGCCTAGCCTTGGCTCTGATATCCCTGCTCTCTCCTGCAGATGATCCTGAGGGACCTGTGTCGTTTCATGTTTGTCTACATCGTTTTCTTGTTCGGGTTTTCCACAGGTAACGGGCTTGGGCAGGGCTGGTGGGAGGGTGGGGCTCCTGCTCCCCTCGAATATCAAGGAATTCAGAATATCAAGGAAATAATGTGTGTCTTTCCTGAGGACCCTGCCAGGGGCCGGGTGAGGGGGAGCCAGGTGGGGTAGGCAGGTGCCTGTCTGCAGGTGACACGCACTTGCAGAGTGGATGGACAAAGGACACACCAAGTGACCCTGAGAACTTGGAAATGTGATTCATAAAATGTTTTAAGTAACTTTGCAGGTAGGAAGTGCTGCTCGCCTGAAGTATAGCTGCATTTTGGCTCAGGTTTTAAAAAATCTTTTTATTTCTACATTATTTCAGGCTTACTGGAAGTTGTAAGAATAGTACAAATAATTTCTCTATACTCTTTACCCAGATTCTCCAAATTTTACCACGTTTTTATCACTTTCTCTCCTCCTACACACACATGCACACACGTGTATCTTGCACTTTAAAAAGACTGAGAGTAAGTTGCAAACGTGAAACACTAGATACTTCACAGTTTATTTCCTAAAAGAAAGAACATTCTGTTACGAAAACACAGTACAACGATCAAAATCATGAAAGTAACATCAATACATACTCTTAGCTAATCTATAGCCCTTCCTCGAATTCCACCAATTGTCCTAATAATCATGTCTTTTACAGAAAATGAACATCCTGGAGCAGGTGTTACATCCTGTTGCCACGCTCCTCTGGTCTCCTTTACTCTAGAGCAGTTCCTCTCTCTTTGTCTTTTGTGACCTTAGCATTTTTAATGAGTAAAGGCCAGTTGTTTTGTGCAGTGTTTCTCAATCTGGGTATGCCTGATGTACCCTCACGACTATATTCGGGTATGCATTTTTAGCCAGAATATCAAGGAAATAATGTGTGTCTTCTTCAGTGCATTTTATCAGGAGTCACAAGAGGTCTGTTTGTGTCATGCCTGGTGAGGTTGACTTTGATGACTTGGTTTTGGTGGATCTGCCAGATTTTTCCATTGTAAAGTTGCTATCTTTCCCTTTGTAATTGATAAGTCATTTGCGAGGAGATGGTTTGAGACTACATAAATATCCTGTCTCTCATTCAGACGTTCACCCAATAGTGAGAGCATCCATTGATCCATCCATTGAGTCCTACTGAATCACTTAATCCGATGATGGTGGCCGAATGCTGATTTTGTGACTCCATTGTTCCTTCCACATTATTGGCTGACATTCTATTAGGAGGAAGAGCCTTCCATCCCCCTATATCTATTTACATATTTGTATCAGAATGGCCTCATGGATTGTTTTTTTTTCCCCCATGGATTTCCACTTTGTTAAATGGGTTATAATCTTTACTGTCATCATTTATTTTGATGCTCAAGTTGTCTGAGATTTAGTCATTGGAAGCCCCCTCAGGCTGGCTCCTGTGCTCTTTGGACACATCCACAACATTTTTTGAGGACACAACTCTGCTTTGAATCTCATCCAAGTCCTTCAGTAACATGGTTCACATGGTGCACCCTCCCCTATCCCCACACTGAGGTTTGTTTTGGAATCTCTGTCTTGGAGGGGTGGGCAGCTGTGACCAGGAGGGACCTGGTAGGTGTGGGCTCTGGCACCTGGATCTGAAGATGCTGCATATCAGTGGGGACTTGGCCAAGGGGGTTAGTGGATACCGATACTACCATGATGCACAACTTCTACAGAAGATCTCAGACTCTGGGCTATACTTCCTCCAAAAAAGTGCAGAATGTGGGATAGACCATTCTGCTTCGAGTTACTCAGAATCCATGGCTCTGGAATGGACCTTAAGGGACACAGGCAGGCAGTGTGACCG